ACTAACGTAACGTAATAACTAATAACTAATATATATATATATATATATATATATATATATATATATATATATATATATATATATATATATATATATATATATACGTTGTGTTTGTGTACGATCGCGATGGATGTGTGTGCCGATATATGCATGTCTCCATCAACCACGTGAGTTCACGAGTGCACGCTTACTTACCCCATGTCACCCCCGCCACCATATCCAGCATGATAAGCCCGTGCTTGACATCGTTCCACACTCGCTTCATGCCCCGTTCACCCAGTACATGCAGGTCAACGATCCGCCCGTCTCTGTTGACCCTCTTGCCTGTGTTGTACCACGTGACACATATTGAAACGGTTAGGGTCGACGTTGAGCCACGATACTATTCGGTTTTTGTGTGTGCAGTGTCACGTGGTATGGTGTGAATCACACGTCCTACGTGTTTACGATTGACACGTGTCGTGCACCCGTGAATAGACTGAGCTGGACGGTAGGCACGTGTCATGTGTCTACGATTGACACGTGACATGCTTCCGTAGATGACACGGACAGCCTCCCCACTCGCAGTTGCATTTGTCATGGTGTTGTGTGTTGCACAAGTGACCGACATAGTTCTATTGTGGACTTTGACAAGTCGGCGATTGGCGGCTTGACCCACGACCATAGACATGACACGTGTGCTGTGTTCGCGACTTGAAGACAGACAACAGTCATGCGCCCCATGTTTTATTTGTAGGCTTGGCCCACAACTATACGTGACACACGTGTGCTGTGTTTACGACATAAAGACAAACAATAGCAATGCGCACCATTTTTTATTTGTAGGCTTGGCCCACGACTATACATGACACGTGTGCTGTGTTTACGACATGAAGACAAACGATAGCAATGCACACCATGTTTTATTTGTAGGCTTGGCCCACGACTATATATGACACGTGTGCTGTGTGTACGACAGAAAGACAAACAATAGCAATGCGCACCATGTTTTGTTTGTAAAGATATTAGGGGGCCCAACTCGACCCTTAAACCCCCTAAAACCCTAAACGGAGAGCAGCATTCACCCCTCGGCTTATGGCCCACCCTAACGCATATTCAGTCGTACAAAAATCCGACAACGGCACGTGTTAGGACTACCTACCACGGCACACCCCGTGCAAACTAAAGATGACAGTCAATGGGCCGGGTAGGAGAAGTGGAAAACAGAGGTACGCAATACGATAATACATATATATATATATATATATATATATATATATAAATATATATATATATATATATATATATATATATATATATATGCATATATATATATGCATATACATACTATATGTATATATATATATATTCGTTGTGTATCGACATACATCTGTGTGGTGCTTGTTGGTGCACTACAGAGCCCTTATTCCGGTTGACTATGAAGTTATTGATAAGAACGTTTCACTGACCTGTCGTTTTGGCGGTAAGCTCGGACGCTTCGTGGCCCATGAAAGTCAGATCAACGGGATTTGACGCACGGAAGTAGACCGTCCATACGATGTACATACTATAGTACACTCCTGCGACACGAGTAGGTAGAGAGTGTTTCGTGCCATAACAGATATAATACACCGCTGAATTGTGTGTCAAAACACAAGCGCTCCAAGCGGGTAGAAATTGATGTATTTATAAAACATATATTTATAACTATATATATATATATATATATATATATATATATATATATATATGTGTGTGTGTGTGTGTGTGTGTGTGTGTGTGTGTGTGTGTGT